ATAAAGTGTGTTTTCTTGCTGCTTGTTGTCTCTATGCTCCTCCTTTATTAAAAGCAATTCCTTGAAACATTATTCTGTCCATTGGACAGGGACCATTGGTAGGGTTAGGTCACAAGCTTTCCATGGGGGTTTCCTCTGTGAAACAAGCTGTGGAGTCTCTGGGTGAAGACGCTGAAGTGGCCATCTTCCTTGCCTTTCTGTCTGCCTGTCCAAATGTTTTTAGGAAGAGAGTCAAACTGATACATGTAATTTCAAGGAATGCTGAATACTCTGACATATACCTCTGAGGATGCCAGTCACAGCTGCTGGCGAAATGTCAGGTACTGCAATGCACAGGACCACAGCCAGGACCACAGCTCGGAAAAGCTACAACACCTAATGAACTCCGGCCGTGAAAGCCTTCGACAACACTCTGACATCTGCTGTCATATGTATTATACCTAATGAAACTAAAAAAGCTTTGATTACTCAATTTTGTTTCTTCTTATGCCATCAGCCAATACAGTATCTGAAGACTTTGTAATGAATCATTTGCAGGGGTATGCGTTTGCTGCGGGTTCTTGGTGCAGAGGCTGTGAAAATGCAGAGGACTGCATCATTCCTGGGACAACATTTGACATTTCTTATAAAGAGTTCAAATCCATCACTTTGCAAATTGTGTGCACAAAGCTCAGGTTTGTAACAACAATCCCTTTGGCCTGCCACTCACCACTGACAAGGGGGACATGATCAAGCACTCCTGCTAAGATTTCTAATTCAAGATAAACAACTAGCCCAAGATCTTTACCAATAAGTCTCCTTGTGTGTGTCAGTTCCCACATTCACCACATTACTCATAGCAATATCCTCTGTATATGAAAGAAATGTCATGGGGTCTAAGAATGGTTCGTTGACTGAGTTATGATAGCCACCTTCAGTAAAATGTAACTGGTGGCAAGCAATCTCCATTCTCACCTTAGACAGGAAAGAAATTGTCTAGGGAGCAATCCTGAGCCATTTAAACGAATGAGGGTTTTGTGACTGAGTCAGGCAGCAATTCATGATCGTTACTGCTGGTAGTGGCTAGGGTTTTCCAAACTAAGATTTGGTCCAAGCATGCAGTTATTTAAAAGGGGAAAAAATCTAACACATACAGTGTATTTCATTGATGGAACAGAACAAAACATTTTTTAAAAAAGAAAACCATCTCTCTAGGTTGGTAGAAATATCTCTTGCTTTTAAAAAATTAATCAAGATGCTTCAGAAATTGTGTTTTGTTTGTTGTTGCTTATTTAGTCACCTCCTGTTTCCTATTTGATGATGATGATGATGATGATGATGATGATGATGATGATGATGATGATGCTTTCGATGTATTAATCACTTTCCCCACAAGTGGGCTCAAAGTGATTTACAGTTACTCTTTAGACAGGGGACTAACAATGTTTCATAGGGGATAGGGAATTCAACATATAATTCATTTTAATTGCACACGCCGTAACTGCACAGTGGAAACTTTTCTGGCTTGGCTCAGTCATGTCCCGAAACGGCTGCGTCAACCGGCTTGATGACATTGGGGCTTCAGGACCCGTATGTTGTGTCGCCACACTGCCACTGCCCGGCTGGAGCATCTCACTGCAGGGATTTTTCATAGCCGAGTAGATTCTTCCGCCTTCCGGATCCTGGACCAGGACATCCCCAACCGACAGCTAACACCTTTCCAGAGGGGAGTCGGTGTGCCCACCCTCTCTAAGGAGTGGTTCCCATTTTATCTACTCGCCGAGGCTTTCGAATTGCTGGGTGGACGATGAGCTGGGGACAACAGGCTGGCTGCTCACATCAGCGCGGGGCTCGAACTGACACAGTTCGGATATTAAGACAGTGGGATATACCCACTGTGCCATTTTTTTTTACTTTTTAAAAAACTTGATTACATGTTTTACATCACATTCAATATATGGTGTTTCTTACTTTTAAAATTATGACATGCTCATATTATTTTCTGTCTTCCTTTCCTGATCTCTCTATATTCTCCAGCTTGTTTTTTCCATTCCTGTTTTTACTTGTTAAGTCACACATTTCTATTGTCTTTCTGATTTATGCCTTTAACTTTTGCTTCTTCTTAAGTTTAATATTCTCTAGTTTTCTACCTATGCTGTCCTTTTTCAAGATATCAGTAGCTATATTTCATCGAGGTTGATTTTTTTCCCTTTTCTTCCTGTAGGTATTTAGCTTGGGGAAGGGGCAGAAGCACAAGTCAAAGGGCAAAATCCCATGGCTCGTAGTGTGGGACCCATGAAGTTCAGCTTGGTAGACCTGGAAAGGCCCAGATTTGTTTGTGTGTGTGTTTAGCATGATTTTGTAGTTTGGCCCTTCCCCCCAAGTTTTATAAGCCTTTCTTGGTCTCTCTGGGAGAAAAGTGGCCCCAAAATGTCCAAATGTATACACAAATAGTTAAATCACCAAGAAGAACACAAAATTAAGAAACCAAACAATGCATTAAAATAGAAGTGATGGAATTTGTTTTATATGACATACTCTCAATTTTTTTGTTCAAATGTGTTATTAGTAAAAGAGAGTGGAGTCTGCTTAACAAGCTTAACAGCAAGAAGTTGGTTGATGATCATTAGACATAAGGAACTCACAGGAATATATGACTGAGATCTCTGTATCATAAATGTTGTAATGTCCTAATTTTTAAACTTGTATTTGGAAGGCATTCAATAATACTACTGTGTATTTGGTAGGAGGTAGTGGTTACAAGATTTAGTACCCCTGGACCCCTGAAAGTAAGGGAGTCAGAGTTTGAATGTAAGTAATGAAAAACAGTAATGGAAGTGGGGTTTAAAGTCGTGATGCATTTGTATGCTATTTGTCGATATCTATTGATGGCTTGCCAATAAGGAGGAAAAGAGAAACATATATATTTAAAAAGTATATATATTTCTAAGATGTAAGCTTACGTTTACAGACAGGTAGCCTTCCTTTATTGCTCCACAATCCATCTTCTTGACATACTGCTGTTGCTTGTTGATTTGACTCCAGCTTAAAGCCCTCATTACATTCATATATTATTCTGCTGCTCAAAATAAACTCATTACCCCAGACTGAACCATTTCCGGGAGATTCTGGGATACCACAGGATACAGCTGAAAATAAGTGAGAGAAAGCTAAAAATCTGTTTGCCTCCTGTACTAATCACATTTGTTGCTACATAGGGGAAAAAAACAAACACAACATTTATCTAGGGGTATGCAAAAAACCCCGTATTTTTTTGGTTCAAGTATATCAAACCTCCCAAATATTGGTATTTTCCTGATATTCCCGAATCTCAATATCAGCATGGTATTCCGATTCGGGATTTTGGTTCCATTATACCCAGTTTGGTGCAGTGGTTAGGAGCACAGACTCTAATCTGGGAGAACCATGTTTGATTCCCCACTCTTCCACATGCAGCTGCTGGTGTGACCTTGGCTTAGTAACAACTTCTTTCAGAGCTGTTTTCTCAAGAGCAGTTCTTGAAAGAGCTCTCTCAGACCCACCTACCTCACAGGATGTCTGTTGTGGGGAGGGGAAGGGAAAGGAGATTGTAAGCCACTCTGAGACTTCTTTGGTAGTGAAGGGTGGGGTATAAACCCAATCTCTTATCTTCTTATCTAATAATCAACTAGGAATAAGGCCATTGTGGAAATAAATACAATGAGCTCTAGAAAGAGGCTCTGGGTGCGTGCCCCAGCCTTGGGCACT